CTCTACACGACACTGGTCAGGCCACAGCTGGAGTACTGTGTCCGGTTCTGGGCACCCCACTTCAAGAGGGATGTGGACAACATTGAGAGGGTCCAGAGGAGGGCCACCCGCATGATCCGGGGACAGCAGGGCAGACCCTACAACAAGAGGTTATGGGACCTGAACCTGTTCATCCTTCACAAGAGAAGGCTGAGGGGGGACCTGGTGACCATCTATAAACTCACTAGGGGAGACCAGAAGGGTTTGGCGGAGACCTTGTTTCCCCCAGCGCCCCCCGGGATAACAAGGAATAACGGCCACAAGTTGTTGGAGAGTAGGTTTAGATTAGACATCTGTAGGAACTACTTCACAGTTAGGGTGGCTAGGATCTGGAACCAACTTCCAAGGGAAGTGGTGCTGGCTCCTACCCTGGTGGTCTTTAAGAAGCGGCTTGATGCCTACCTGGCTGGGGTCATTTGAGCCCAGTTTTCTTCCTGCCCAGGCAGGGGGTTGGACCTGAAGATCTGCAAGGTCCCTTCCGACCCTACTTCTATGATTCTATGATATGTAGCAAAGAATTTCAGTTTGAGTCTCTGAGAATTCACCTAAGTAGAAGATTAGCCTTAAAAGGTGACCAGTAAGGGAAACCACATGGGCTTGCTTGTGCCTTTCTTCTTTCTTTGTAATATAAAAAGGTGCCTTAAACAAACATTTTCATGGAGCTTTTGATTCACAGGATTTTTCTGCTTGTAATTTTTACCTAAGAAAGTCTAAGAAAATAGGGAAGACAAGACATGACAAATTCCCTGGATAAGTACAAAACTGGTAGGAATAAGATTCCCCAGGTACTTAAGAAGGGGAATCTGATTAAGGCCCAGGCCAGCAAACAGTTAGACATGTGAATATATGTTTGTAGAATCAGGGCCTAATTTATCCAGGCTGTGTAAAGTTGTTGTGCCTGCCTCTGATCAACTCTTTAGGTAAAACAACTTGTGAAAATGTAAAGATGAGAAAGTTCATAACACATACCTGAGTTTGCCAGTAACCATACATACAGAACAAGACAACACATGACAATTTAAAGGCATAAAGATGCAATGCAGGGTCTAGGTTTTATTTTTCAGCTTGAACCCATATAGGAGGATTTCCTCCTACACATTAAACAAGTGGCAAACCTTGGTTGTATGACCCCCTCACCATGAGATGACTCAGATGTATACCTCATACTTCCCAAGAGAGTGCCATAAATCACCAAGCTATATAATACTCAAGGGGTACATTTACATGTAAAATTAATGCGATGCAATAAACTCTGGTGCATATCATGCCAGAACGTATTGCTCCTGGGTGCTACATTTACACGTGCACCCAGGACTGTAGCACACTGAGCCAGGTCAGAGCAGCACCAGCTGACAGGGTCCTGGTGGAGTCAATCTACCAGTTGCTCTGTCCCGGCTCAACGTGTTGCAGAGGGGCTAACTGGGACACATGGGTGATAAAGTGTCATGCTAACCAGCAGCCAACCCTCACACTGAAACACCCTGGTGCCCCAGCCAGCCCCGTCAGCATCTACACATGCATTGCTGCACAGTAAACAATGCCACCACAGGACAGTACTTGTATTTACAAGTACTAATCTATGGCAGCATGTATGAGATTACTGTGACCTAATAGGGCCACATGTATAGATATGGCGACTTTACTGTCGAGCTAATTAGGCAACTTTGCAGTAAATGTCTCATGTAGACATGCCCAGGGTCGCACTCCAACCTTCCTGTTGAATCTAGGCCACTGGGCAGCCAAGAATGCAATGCGCCCAAAAACGGAAACAAGCAGAAGGGAGACTGCCTCTGTAAGCCTAGTGGTTATGGCACTCCAAGATTAATGATTAAATGTAAAATTCATAAACGTACATTTACATATCTTGGTTAAGAAACAAAAACAACAGCCTCGAGAGCAAGGACTAGAATCTAGTTCTTCCCCTTCCCAGGGCAGTGCCTTAACCAAACAAGATCTGACCCTAACATCTGACATATATAGTTTCATATCCTTTCTAAAATGTTTGTTGTTATAAATCATGACAACTTTGGATATTCTTATCTAAATAAATGTCCCAAATATTTTTTTAATCTTACTCAATTTTTGGTGTTAATGACTTCGTGGCAATCAGTTCTACAGTCTAATTACACAGTGCATGAAAAAAAATATCAACTTCGAACTGGCCATTTTTAACTTCCATGCTAAGCTCTTGTGTTATGAAAGAGAAAGCTCAATCCAATACACTTTCTCTATACCATTCATTCTTTTTATACTTTTACCTATCTTCAGATTTTATGTTGCCATCCGTGAACAGCACGTGCCCCCAATGTGGTAAGTGCAGAGCTCCTGCAAATGCCACCAGGGTAGGGGGGAAGCACCGCCAGGGGTCAGCGATCACCCACAGGCGTCACTGGTGGCGGCGGTCAGCAGCAATTGTGGACCACCCACAGATGCCACCGGTGGTGTCAGCAGCGGGGTGGTGAGCAGCAATTGCCCACAGGCGCCACCAACAGTATTGGCAGCATCTTTTTGCAGTGGGTACACTGCCTCACTCAGGGCATGCACGTCCACCCCCTACCCGTCGCCCCTGTTGCCATCCAACCTGGGCATCTCCCATATAAAATCAATAGCTCTAGCAAAGTCTTTGACTCATCTTCCTTAATAGGTCTAACTTAAAACAGAGTGGATTTTGAAAAGGAATTGGGACTTTTTATTTTTCTTATTTTTCTTTCTAAAGTAAATGTTCCCAACCTCTTAATCTCTCTTTATTCAACGTGTTTTCTCTATCTCTAATCAGTCATTGTCCTTACCTACAGCCCTCCTTAAACCTCCTCCTTGCATGTTACTTGATCTTCTATAGATGGGTTAACACACACCAGTTAGATCTTTTCGCTGTTGTTACTACAACTACACACGAAGTCCAGCCAGAGCCTCAGCCAATTTAGCAAACCAAGAAGGATGGGCAGGGATTATGTTTATTATAAATACATAAATAAAAATGAATATAGTAAATAAATAAGTGGAAGTCCATTGATTTGGGAGAATATGGAGGAAAATTCCAAATTCAAGAAGTTTGAAAACCACTGTAAAGGGATCATGCATTGACACAGATAATATAATCTTATGTAATTGCACCATCTCAGATTTTTATGATACTTGACTTACCAAGTTTAACTTCAATTGTATTGTTTCTTGGATAAAGAATCTCAGTGTTCTTCTTTGCTGGGTTCTCTAAAAACATGAAAACATACACAAAAATATAAAATATTATCAGAAATAATTATCAATCTGCAAGCAACTGCAGAGAACCAGTTTACCGCCTAGTTGCAGGGACACATTTAAGTTTAAGTGTACTGCAAAAGAAAAAAAACCCCACAGAAACCATTTTAGGACTGTATACTTTGTTGCTCCCTTGCAACAGATTAAAAGAACAAATAAGTTTGCTTTGTCTGGTTTGAAAAACAGATCTAGAAAAAAAAAGTGCACAAAATTGAGAGAAAAAAAATTGTTACAGTCTGCTAAACCTCATTAACCCTTCACTACCACAACTCATCCCTTTTGGTAACAATGTTCTCTTTAAACTGCAGAATTTAAAAAAAGGAAAATAAATCTATTTAAATACTAGAAATACTTACAGATATCTTAATACTGTTCTTTGTAGAAAATTCAGATAGATTTCTGAGAAAATGCCTGGCACATACAGCATCCATAGCAGTGCCAAACTCAGGCTAATAAAACCTTTATACCAAACTACTCCCTTATATCTTGCTTCTTAGTAGAAGGGCACATGGAAAAGGACAGTTCCTCCCCCAAAGGGCCTTACAATCTAAGCAGACAAAACAGAAAAGGATGGAAGAGAAAGGAGAAGAAAAATTTGTTCAGTCATACAACAGGTCAGTGGCAGCCAAAGTCTTAATGGTCCCCCATATCCCAGACTACAATGCTTCCCTGTCAGAGGGCACAGTCAGCATTCATAACACATTTTTACGGAGCCACATGTCAGTGAAGCAATCCCTTTGGCCCCCATATCCCTTGTATCTATACAATTTAGAGTTGGAGTTGGAGTTTGGCAACAGGGATAGAACAGGGAGGAAGACAGAGAGGGGACTGTGGCAGCATTATTACCATGGTTCACAGATCTGTGGCAATTAATGATGCCTACTGCCCAAATTTCTGGACCCATAGGGAACTCTTCCTTGCATATAAGGCACACCCCAATTTTGACAGCTAGTTTTGGGGGAAAGGTGCTGGTTTGGTTATTTCATAGACATCAGGGCTGGAAGGGACCTCGGAAGATCATCGAGTCCAGCCCCCCGCCCAAAGGGCAGGAAGTCAGCTGGGGTCATAGGATCCCAGCAAGATAAGCATCCAGTTTCATCTTGAAATGATGCAAAAAAAGTACAGTTATATGCAAGAAAGTACAGTATTTCTTAACCATTGTCATATACGGTCTAGCTATCTTATCACTCATGCTTCTCTAAACATTTCTGATTAACTTAACTGAAATACTGCAATAGTATAGGCATTAATAACAGTCCAAACATTTCTTTTTGTATCCCAAATAATCCCAGAATATTTGACAAGCCATAACTATACATACACACACCCAGATAATGTGTGTACACACACACCTTTCTTTCTTGGGGGGGAATGTGTGTGCGTGTGCACGCACACATACATTTTCTTTTGAGGGGAGAAATGTGTATTTAACTCAGTATTGGCAAACCTAATGATCACAAACCATAAATATGGCATCAAAATATTCATAAAGTTAGCTTAAAAATCATGAGGTTAAAGAAAAAACCCAGCAACAATAAATCTGGAATTCTTTTTATCTATGTTTTCAAATCGTCTCCTGTAGACGTAAAGGGTAGAAACTTTAAGTTGTCATCAGAGATTCTCACAATCAAATGATGCAAGGGGTCACTGAAAGAAGATTAAAAGTGGGGAAAAAACCTCCACATCGAATACTGAAAGGCACTAGCATCATAATTTAAAGTTGCTGGACTGCATATCGCCCCCTCTCAACCGCAATCATTACAGAAAGAATGATAGGCTATTAAGTTATTCAACATGCAACACAAGTTCCAGTCCTCAGTTTGCTTCAATTTCTCATAATCTAAGCTACCTTTTTTTTTTTTTTATCATCCATATGCCTCTAAATTGTTCTAAATTATTAAGTCATTTTAATACGGAAATTACAAAACTGAAGCCTGCCTGTATTCATGTGATCATCTTTTACATTTATGGCTGAAGTTAAGGAGGTTCAGAAGTTAAACCATAAGGCTAGGGCAGACATGCAAAAAGCTTGAACCAATTTGGAGGTGGATAGACATTCCCTTTTCATTCCAGAAATGCAGGCACATGCCCGCAATGACTCAGGCTAGAAGCCAGGTGGTGCTAGAGCAGCCTTCCCTTCCCTTCCATAGTGCTAAGCTGAGGGGGGACATGGCCAGACCGTGGCAGGACGCTTTGATTAGGGAGGGGTCTGTCCCCAGCTCCCCCAGGAGGGAGCCAGCAGGGAGTTGATAACAGAGCATTGAGTTACACAGCAGGGAGTTGTTAGCATTTAGTATCCCATCAACCAAAACAAAAGCCTATCTCATCAATTTCATAGACATTAGGGCTGGAAGGGAACTCACAAGATCATCAGGTCCAGCCCCCTGCCCAAGGGCAGGAAGTCACCTAGGGTCAAAGGACCACAGCAAGATAAACATCCAAATGTTTCTTAAAAGAATTCAGAGTAGGTGTTTGCACCACCTCTTAGGAGAGTCTATTCCAGACCTTGGGGGCTTGGAAAGTAAAGTAGTTTTCCTTATGTCCAGCCTAAAATTGTCTTGGTGGAGTTTGCGTCTCATTAGTTCAAGCTCTTCTTAAACAACTTTTTCCAAGGAAAGAACAGAGGGACATTACCAGCTACTTGCTGATTAGCTCCAAAAAGCCCTAAGCTGACACTGTTCTGTCTGCCTTTGTCCTGTCTTCCATATATGGACCATAGCTAGCATGTGGTCTGCTAGCTAATGCTGAGAGGTGTCTGTGTAAGACAGAGGGGAGGGTGGAATCCCTGCCTGAGCAGGGAATTGTGAGGGTATGGGGGGAGCAGAAGGAAACCAGGCAGACACTTCTGTCCCTGCCATCTCTGCCAGAGCTGCATCAGAGGAGTGGGGCCAACCCTGTTGGGCTTGAGCAGAGAACAGAGCCCTGCCCAGCAAAGCATCCGAGATGCTGGAGGTTTCTGATTCAACTTAAACCAGGAAAGGGTCTGGGACAGGCATTGCGTAAACTGGTTTGACCCAAATCAGTTAAGTCTGATGCTACATTCAACCAGGTTTATCTCAAACTGTTTTCAGCCATTTTCAAACTGGTTTACATGCACTGAACATCTGTTCTGTTACAAGTTTAAACAAGTTTCTGATCACTTAAACCAGTTTATGTGTAATGTCTGTCCCTAGCCCAAGGGTAAGAACTGGAATGTTTGAGGCAGAGACCAAGCTGAGGGCCAAGATCCAACATTTGTATTCAAGACAGTACCAGAGATATGGAAGCAAGGAGTCCAGACTATAGGGAGCAGTTAGGCAGGAACAGAGCAGGGGTTAGGAACAGGGCTGATATGGGAAAGAGCGCAGGACTCAGAGACAAAGCTAAAGAATGATCCAGGACAGGTACTGGAGCCTTTGTTAAAGCAGGAACCAGGGCAGGTCAAGCAAGGTTTGAAGGCAGACAGGAACCAGGTAGAGCTGCAGGGTTGTGAAAAATTGAGCAATCAACATTCTTCTAGTTTCCTCATCTCCTGTTCTGCTGATCAAGCTGGTTGTGAAGTTGCATCAATCACCCCAGGCCCACTAGAACAGGTGTGAGAGATATGGATGGATAAAGTAGCAACTGAGAATGAGAAAGGGAACCGAAATTAATAGAATAGATTAGTGGGATGGAGGAGGAGAGAGAATGCACTGCTTCCCTCTGATCTTTACAGTTTTGAGTCAGAAGGTTATGCAAGCAGGCAACTTTAACTGAAACTAAATGCAGTATTTTGTTTGGGAGATTTTGCTGCTTTATGTACAAACACTGACAGCTATTCCTATGCATAGCTACTGGGCAACATGTATTTGGATGCTCTGGATGGCCCTAAAATATCTCACACTTGCCTTCTCTAACCCACTTTGCATTCATCCAGGACACCTGCAGAGTTGCATTCCTTTTGCTTTAGAGCACCTCCCTTCCTCCACATACTCACACCTTCTCCATACCCTAACTGCTCTGATGCACAGCACACTGCACAACTCCAACACTACCATTTGCACAGGAACCCTTGAAAACTGTACACATATCTCCATGTTAAGACAAGACTATTATGCTATCTACTTAAAACATGAGTCTTCTTACGTGTTGGTTTATTTCCTAACACTGTACTGAGGCCTCTATTTAGCACTAAAACAGAAACAAAAGTACTAATGGAGTTTTTCAGTTATTCTGGTTCTTTTTTACAACTAAAAATTACAAAATAATTATTAGCAAATGATTTTCAGGTGGCTCTTTATGTATATGTATAGTGTTGCACTGAAGAACACAACAGGGACTTACCTACAACAGTTACATAAATGTTTCGTGAAACATTGTATTGTTTTCCCATATAATTATATGTTGCTTGACATAAGTAACTTCCTGCATCTTTTCCACTCACGTTAGTTATTATAAGTTCATCTCTCTGGGGTAGAAATCTTTTGTCTTCAAATAGGTTACATTCCTGAACACAACAAAAAGTATTTGTCAAATCAGAGGAAGAAAATAAAAATACTGTATAAAAAAAAAAGAAAAAGAAAAAACTAAACCTCAAATATTCCTCGCCTTAAATGGAGCAAGGCCATTTCATATTGAACCTTATACTGTTTCCCTGCTTATACACTATATGTAGCCTGAGTTATCAGTAGGTATCTTGGTTTTAAACTTCAATAAGCTCTGCCAAACCACAGGCATCCACCAAGAGCATGCTATAGGATGAGGGCTCTGTGACTAAATGTGGTGTTTTTGCAGGTACCCTCAAATCATGCTGAATTATAGCTATGCCTCAGACGACCATGTTCAAGAACGGGCGCACTATTGTGTAAAAAGTATTTAAGGCCACCTGTTTTATTCAATATGGAGGGGGGGCTGAAATCACTTTCAGAACAATAGTATTCTATTTCCCATGTGTTGCATAAGTAGGTAAAATAGTCACACCTATCTACAGTATACTATAATATTTTTACCATGGCATAAGTTCCCTGACATTTCTGATTTTCCAATGTTATGGACTTGTTTGCATTTCAGAACAGAAGTCAAACTTGCTACTTAAATGGCACTACTGGGAGACTGGACAGAAGATCCTTTCACATTGAATATGTTCATACCATATTAAAACATTTTCAGCAACAATCTTAAAACTCTGAGAATCATAACCCTGTTTACAGAAAATAAAAGTTATGCAATCTAGCCCCCCTCTTAGATGTTAGATGTGGTTAGGGCCGGAAGGGACCTCAATAAGATCATCGAGTCCAACCCCCTGCATAAGCAGGAAA